TTGTCGAAGACGAATTTTAGGGAATTGTCATACGAAGCGTAAGTAATAAGAAAACGTGTGGTATTAAAGCAAGATTTTGAACAAATATATTTTTCCAATAAATTTTTAAAATCATAAACGATGATATCGAAAAATACCCCAAACCTAAACATTTCGGCGTCACAGACAGTAGAAAATTAAGAGAGTTTGTCAATTAAAAAAGGGTCGGATAAAAAAGTCAATTTTTAACTAGATTGCAAAAGTATAATTATAATATTTACTATTCTAATAACCTAAAAATATATTTATAAATATACAATGTATTTGAACATTTTATCGCATTGAAAAAGTATCACGTAGAGCCTCTAAGTGGTTGTTAGTAGGTGTCTACCATTACGCCAGATTCCCACAGCTTGCTAACCTTAGACACCACAGAGTTGAGTGTACCATTACTAGTAAAGAGACTATTACCATATTATTATTTAGTTTATGAAGAAAGTGGATATCTACAATTTAAGTCGATCGATTACCTGATCTTTCGGTCGGTTCAAAAACTGAAAATCTTTAATTATTTTATTTTGGTTCGTGACAAAATGCTAAAATATTATAAAAATCATTTTTAACATTTTCCAATATATGGTACAAGATAAGTATACTTATCTTGTACCATATATTGGAAAATGTTAAAAAAGGTATACCTTTCGCCATTTGGAGTTTCGTTACTTCGTTATTACTCTACAATGTTATAAAAATCAAATTCATTAACATGAGTTTGTAGTTTGTTAATTTTATTTTGTGAAATTGTAACATAATTTTTTGTAGAAAATCAGGGTTTGTAATTATTTTAACAGAGGAAAATATTTTACAAAAAGTTTTGTAAAGGTTACAGAATATCTTGTTAATGTTTAACAAATTGTTTGGCTAGAAAAGTACACGTGATTTTAGGCAGTCAATCAAAACATTTCCCTCTGACAATACGTATCAACAAGTTCAACTGACTTCAGATTCTGCAACTTATGTTTCTGCTTACTTTATTCTAATTCATCACGTATTCGTATCAACGGAAATTAGGAAAAAGAGTAAAGTTAAAGTTACGAAATACATCAGAAGGTGTGGTAGTAGTACCTACTGATTTTCGTTAACACATACAAAAATTGCACATCCTATTAATTTTGCACTTTTAAGACTTTTCCACTCATTTACATATACATGAAGACTAAAAACGTTAATTTTTTTGTCTTTTTTAAAAAGTTTTACTTGGTCCTTTCTTATTCTTCTGGGTCTCTCACGTTCTGCTTGTCTTTTAGCTTCCTTGGTCAACTTGTTTCGTGGTTTTGTCATTTTAATTTATTTTTATTTAATTTCCCACTGAAATGAAAATTTTTAAATTGGTCCTTCGGAGGGCACTTTAAGCCCGCGGTCCGTTCCTACCCCTAACCCGCTCAAGCCATTCAGTTGGCTTCTGGGACTTCTTAGGAAGTAAGTGTGGAACTAAAAGACTACTTTTTTTGGTTACATGTAAGGGACACGACAATGACGAGCACGGTAATGATGATTTTAAGGTTAGAGTGTTTTACAATGTTTATTCGAAAATGTAATGTAATTTTCAAGTTACCATTTGCTTTTTGTTAATGCAAGACTCCTTTGTATTAATGTAAATTTTTTGTATGTCCATAAACTTTGAAATAAAACTTACCCCGACAATGACGGACTTGGACGTAACAAGCCGTTTTCGTTTTCATTCGGCGCACGTCACCACTTTATTGTTTGACATATGCTAGTGGACGTTAGACAGGCAGGATATTTCCATATCAGACGTTCGAAAACTTCCGGCATTTTCCGAATGTATCGCGTATTTAAATATGAAATTAGACACATTTTAAGTAGCCACGGCAATGACGCTCATGGGTGTGAACAAAGTTTAAACTGCATTAAAAGGAAAGTTAACATTTTAAAATGCAATTTCTTGCTTGCATTGTATTATTTTGTATTTTCTCCGTCTGTGTTAGCCAGGATATTGCAAGATTTAATTTGTAAATAAATGTAATAAAATAATATGTTGTTGTTCTTCGAATGTGAACAAGGCACGGTAATGACGTTTGCGACACAAATATATTTTTTACTATGCTCATTTAGACTAAAATCAGTAAGGAATCGAGTAAAAATAGTCAATTAAACTAGGCATCAATTATTTTATTTTCAGTGGGATATTAACTTTTTAAATATTCACCCAGGTATGTGTTAATCTTTTTGTGTACTCTCTAAAAATGAATTAGTCAAAAATAATTAATTTAATAGTTATTAGTGGCTGCTTATAAACTTGTACCATGGTTAACCATATAATATCATGGTATCCCAAAATTTAACAGCCATTCTTATGTAAAATTGTCCCCTGAATACTAAAAAAGTTTTTTGAGATATAGTCAATTTTCCATTTAATATGGAATTGACTATATCTCAAAATTTTTGACGATATTTTCGGATTAAGGGGACAATTTTACATAAGAATTGGCTGTTAAATTTTGAAATACCATGGTATTACATGGTTAACCATGGTACAAGTGAAAAAGCAGCCACTAATAACTATTAAATTAGTCATTTTAATTCATTTTTAGAGAGTACACAAAAAAATTAACACATACCTGGGTAAATATTTCAAAAGTTAATATCCCACTGAAAATAAAATAATTGATGCCTAGTCATTTTTGACTAATTCATTTTTGGAGAGTAGGAAATTGATTAATAAAGCAAAATTTCTTATCAAAATTCTCCAACCAATACTTTTGTTACTGGGTCTACATAAAAGTTTGTAAAAAAAATACAAGAATTATGGTTGAAATTGACATGGAATTTTAATTAAATCTACAAAATGTCTGTAATAATTACAAACTACCTATTCAATTAGTTAACAGATTACAGTTGGTTGTAAACTTAACAAAAAGTTATGTTTACCTGGATTAACATATAATCTGGTTAATATTTGGTTAAAATTAACAAACATTTTTTACTGTGCACACATTTACATTTTCTGTCTCTCCAATATCTACAATTTTAGAATTTAGAATCTTCACACTTTAAAAATAAAAAATAATACCATTTTTAATAGTTTTTGGGCATTGGCCCTGCATATCGACGTCCCCATATAGTTGTTGTAATGTAAAGTAAGTGTAATAGAATTTTCCGTCCACTTAAAAGTTCGTGTAAATAGTTTCCCGGTTTATTTAAATTTGCTGCGATTTTCAACAAGCAGTTTGCAAGACATCGAATGAGATCTTGCATCGTCAAAATTAATTTACTGTAAAGAAAACGAACTGCTCTAAAATTAATGGACCTTATTTTGCAACCAGTGGCTTAGTTTTAATTAATGCTATGTGGACAAGCTACACGTTCGTTGAACAAAATGAATAACCTGAACTTGTTATACAAAATATTTATTTTGGAATAAGAAGATTTAATTTAGCCTAAAACAGTGTTTTTCATGTAAAACTCAACAAACTTGGTCGAATTTAATGAACAATAAAGGTTTTAGTAGCGTGTGCTAAAGGAAAATTTGTAAGTAGCTTAAAAGGCTTTAAAACTTTATTATTATAGACTTTTAAATTATATGATTCAACAGAAAGTAAAAAGTAATAACTCAAATCAAATTATTTTTATTATGCTTTAAACACCTCCTGAAAAGTATGATGTTTTTCTACACCCACTCGCTTGCAAGCTTCGCTCATGCCTAACTAAAATTCGTGACAAAAACTTGACACAATATTTATTTTCATATTTATTATGTTCAGAAAATAACGGGAATTGTTAAATTTCGCGGGTTCGGAGGGTCCGGTTGTCATAATATTTTTTTTATTATGTTGGTATACATGCCCCCGAAGTATGATAAAAACTTTAGCTGTTTTCATTGTTTACTTTGTCTGTGGCAGCCGCTAAGATTAGACGTGTTTTATGAGCTCGGCGATTTTTCGTTCGTTAAAAGAAATGGATCAAAGAATTTGTATCCAATTTTGCTTAAAAAATGAAATAAATTCTGTAAAATGTTAACAAAGGCTTATAGTGAGTCTGCTATAAGTAAAACCAGAGTTTACAAGTGGTATAAGAGTTTCCAAGATGGCCGTGAAGACGTTGAAGATTACGAACGCCCCGAACGCACAAGCACATTAACAACCGATAAAATCATGGAAAAAGTGGAAGAAATGGTTATAAACCATCAGAGAAGTCGCTGATGATAATGGTATATCGATTGGATCATCCCATGAAATTTTTTCAAATGTTTTGGGTATGAAACGCGTGGCAGCAAAATTTGTTATAAAATTGTTAAATTTTAAACAAAATTTTTGACCAACAACAATACTGTAATGATGCCCCAGCCTCCATATTCGCCAGACATGCCTCTGTCTGACTTTTTCCTATTCCCAAAAATAAAGAGAACCTTAAAGGGCCGTCGTTTTTCAAGCATAGATGACATTAAAAGCGCATCGCTGAAAGAACTAAAGGCTATCCCAAAGATCGAGTTTTAGAAGTGTTTCGAGTATTGGAAGAAGAGCTGGCACATGTGCATAATATCCAAAGGGGACTATTTTGAAGGCGACAACATTAATGTAGACGAATAAATAAATATTTGTTTCAAAAAACGAAAATTTTCTGAACACACCTCGTACAATCACCTGTTTTAAAATGTGCAATAAAATGTTTGTAGTTAAATAAGATTAAAGTTTAAGTGTAGTTTTGTTTGTGTTTCTGCTTAAAACACCCGCCACTGCAAAAGTCACATTGTTAAAGTTGTTGCACTTTGCATCTGACCTCGTTCCATGACAATCATCATATTTGCCATGGAATTGCTCTATCCCAGCGCTCTTCTCAATTTCGAATCTGTGAAAAGATAATGAAACTTCACGGTGTCAGACAAAGCTAATTGTTTTGTCCAATTAAAAGACGAGTTTTCCTGATGCGAACCTTTATATTAAATAAATTAAAAATGCTAAAAACTTATTCGTGTTATTTTTTCTTTCAGTCTTTCGACGATGCTCCTGCTTTCCTGCATAGTACTAATGAACTTCCAGATGACAATAACAGAAACATTTACTTTGGGATATTTAACTGGATCCCAACGCAGAGCAGGGGATTTGGAATATCCCAGACCGGGACTTACGATATCGGGAGCGATTTCTTTGGCTATTGAAGAAGTAAGTACGCAGATGTTTTGCAATTTAAATGTTCTTTTATGTGAGGTTTCGCTTTAAGCTTTAAGCTGCGTGGTTTTAAAATAAGCTCTATTTTCGATTTTCGAGGATCAAAATTCACTTTGATCTCTTCGCCTCCGTGGTTCTAAGGGGAAATAACGGAGTTTGAATGTAGGCAACCCAGATTATACGTGGATGTTATACTGGTTACGTTATGCTTTTTTACGTATTTTGTGGTTATGTTATAGGAACCGTGTATTTTTTCGAAATAAAATTACAGTATTGCATTGATCTATAACTAATAGTTATAGTTATATTTATATATCTATATATCTATAGATATAGAATAGATTATAAAATTGTTATTTCAGCAATATGCACATTTATACCTTTTTATGCTGATAGTTTCGGAGATATTAATTATTAAAAGTGGAAAATTTATAGTTTTTTATATTGTTTTGATGTTTTATAGTTTTTATTAAAAGACTTTTTAATAATGTTTTGATAAAATTAAAGAATGTTTTATAGAAGAAACTTTCTCAAATTATTTCTTTTCAAGGTTAAACTTCTTCAAATGTCGATATATGGATGTTTTTTGTTTTATATTTCTTTATAATATAATTTAAAACCAATATTACTAATATAATATATATTATTATATATAATACATATTATGTAAAAACTTTTAGTTGAGCGTTCAGTGAAGTATTTGTCTCTTAAGCGTTCTTCAAATATTTCGCAGTATTTAAATATGGGCCATTTAAAAGAAACACAGAAAATTAAAGTTTTAATTCTCATAGAATGTGAAAATAAAACTAGAACACAACAAAAACTTTGCAATTTATTTAATGCAAAGTAGCTCGACCTATTACTCGTGCTACGGTTAGTAAAATTGAATGTAAATTTAGACTGGACAAGATATTCCAAAACTTGGCTTTTTGAGTATTATTATCCGACACTAAAATTAACATTTTGTTAGGTGTGGAAGAAGATCCTTAGATTCTTTGGGAAATTTTATGCTCTACAAGAATCCGCGACGTAAAAATTTTTATCTTAAACGGTTCAAAAGTTATAGTCTTTTTAATGAAAAAAGATTTTTTTACGTGTTATTTCAATGGAAAACTTAGAATGCAAACCGACACCTTTTAAAATTGAGCAAAAAATTTTGCCTTGCAGGGAAATTTTTTGCTCGGTATGTAGGTTCATTTTAACCCATAAATCCGATAGGTTAGTTTTTTTGGCTCATCCTATTAACCATGGTATAAGTGAATAACTGTAGTAACTAGTCATTTTGACTCATTTATTTTTAGAGTTAGGTCTTATTAAAAAAGAAAAGTACCACCCATACAAAATTAGACTAGTGCAGGAACTTAACGAAGATGATGCGGATTGTAGACTGCAAGTTTGTGAAACTATGATGAATTTAGGTAACATTAATCCAGACTTTTCTCGTAAAATACTTTTTACGGACAAAGCTACCTTCAGTTATCTCTTCTTCCCACATTAGCAGAAATGTTTCCCAGTGATAATGGAGGTCCCGATCTACCAACTGATTTGGTTTTTACAGAACAGGGCACCTCCGCACTATGCGCGTCTTATCCGTACTTTTTTGGATATGTTTTCCTGAGAGGTGGATTGGCAGACGAGGACCGATCGAGTGGCCAGCGAAATCTCCAGATCTTACCCCTTACGATTATTTTTATGGGGCTACCTTAAATCAAAGGCCTTCTTCGAATTTGTAAAGAATGTCGCTTTATTAATGCTTAAAAGCATTTTCAAAATAATGTTTATGAAGATAAAAATATTTTTTTGAAAATAAAAATTTTTAAATCACGAACTTTTAAATTTAATAATACCCAAAACTATCATCCCAAAAGATATACATGTGCATATTGCTGAATTCAGAATTTTATAATCTATTTGAATATGCAAACAAAAGAGTGGGCACAATTTTAAAAAACGGCCGATGACGTCATAGTTTCTACAAAAATGGCGGCAAATATGAAAATTTTACACGGAAGTAAAAAGCTAAATCGACTTGTTTTTGGGGGCAATTTTTATAATGAATTTATTCCATACTTTTGCCGGTCACTGTATATTAGGGTGTCCGTTATTTACCAACTTGTTTTTTTTGTTCGCAGCGCCCCCTAAATTTTTAGTTTATGACCTAAAAAAATTTTCCATTTAAATAACATGGGGTTTCGGCAACTTTTACATTTAATTTTTTTTCTCCCCAGCAAGTTAATATACAGTAATAAGAGACAAATATTTTTATAGGAAATTGAACGCTGTACAAAAAAGCTTTCTTATGATTTTTTCATAAATTCACTGATTTAAAAGTTACTTAACGTTAAAGATAAAATTACCGTAATTTTTTCGATTTTTTTACTTTGACTGCAAAATTATAATTATTTTTATGAAAATGAATTGTTTATTTTTAAAAATATGTGTTTTTATTGTATTAGTGAAAAATTAAAAATTATTGAAAACAAATAAGTAAAAATTATTGATAAGAAATTTCGATAAATTAATTTTTTTATTACATTTAACGAATCTGTTACTAGTTCTACTCAATTTTAGTACGATTACTTTTTTACAAAATCTTTTTATTTCTGTGAAATTCTACAAAATTTTATACGATTTTATAAAATATACAAGAAAAAGTTTTCCTTCAGTACAGCTAATGACGTAGAAATTCTTTTAACAATTATTTTTACGACAAAATAAAATTCTTAGTTACGCATACGTTGTCTTGAGTATAAGATGCAGACATTTCCGCGGCGTTTTATTGACGGGCTGAAGTTAACAACAGTGGCTTTTCGACATTTTACGCCACGGGCTGAAGTTAGCTTTATTATAAATTGGGAAAAAGTGAGGTTAAATTTGGGTGACAGTTGACAGATGTCAAAATTTTAACAAATAAAATTGGCTTTAAATTCTGTTTTGTGTTCGTCGTAGATAAAGTATAGTATGCAACTCGCTTATAAACTTCTCTAGACACTCGTTTTTATTAAACACTCGCTCGCAAGCGTTTATAAAACTTGATACATAATATACTATAGTATAATATATAATATATTATCTACTTCTACATTGACGAGCTGTAACTTTATGGTGCTTTAGTCACGGGCTGTAGTTGGCAATAAGTAGTGGCCTTTGGGCATTTTAGTCACGGGCTGAAATTAGCTTTATTATATATTAGAGAAAAGTGACATTTGACATCTGTCAAATGTCAATTATAATAATTGGCTTTAATTTACTTTTTGTGTTCGTCGTAGATAAAGTATACTTAGTATGCAACTCGTTTCCTATAAAAATGTGTATCACTTATTGCTGTATATTAACTTGCTCGGGATAAAAAAAATAAATGTAAAACTTGCCGAAACCCCATGTTATTTAAAAATGGAAAATGTATCGTCTTTTTTTTTATTATTTTAATAATTTTTTAGGTCATAAACTAAAAATTTAGAGGGCGCTGCGAACAAAAAAACCAAGTTGGTAGATAACGGACACCCTACTGTATATGGACCTACTTTACAAATATAGATACAAAGTTCAATGACTGTACTTGTTAATTGTTTAACTTTATTACGACCGGATAATAGAAACTATGTTTTCCGGATTTAAATTGTTTTATTGTTAGCGAATAGTTACAGCTATAGTAGTAAGTTAGGTAAGCCCTTATAAATTGCTTGACTTTATGTTTAAGTTTTAACTTAATAGCGATTAATATTTATTAGTACTTAAACTTGACTAGTTTTAAGATTGAAACAATAAATAAATATTTCGAACTAATAACTTTAAATGGAGGTTTTTCATCGTTAAATAATTTATTTCAGGTTAACAACGGGACGCTAGGCAGGATGGGACACCGTTTGGATTTCATAGTTGCCGAAACGTACGGCGAAGAGATAATAAGCGTACAGAAAACGGCCGACTTGTGGACCAAAAACGTGTCGGTGTATATTGGACCTCAGGAGACCTGCGAGCATGAAGCTTTCATGGCGGCTGCATTTAACGTTCCTATGATATCGTATGTAAGTAAGACAATGATAACAATTCTTTAAATATCTACACAGAGAAAAAGCTTATTTGCAATACCTGAATTACAGCTATAATCAAATGAATGATTGTCTTACTTTTATTTGTGCAAACCTGCTTAAAATTAGTTCAAACATAAGAAGTCATTGAATTAAATTGCGATTCTATTAAATCCGTATTAAAACTTGGTTAGTTAAAACATAAGAAATTATTGAATTAAATTATTATTTAATTGAAGCCACAATAAATCTTAATGAAAAACTATCATTGGCATAAATAAAGTTATGGTTTCTAATGAATGGCTACATTAAATGCAATCAAAGCTGTATTTCCTTTAAATATATATATTCTTGTGCAAATATTTGTTGTATAATCCATTAATAAAATGAATTCTGGAAACTGCTTCTAGTAGTCTTGTGTACACAGGTTTTTCGATCCATAAAATGAAATTGTTCTGTTTTCTGTAGGAACTATTATTAACCCACTAGAAGTGTTGGTGATATTAGGCTCTAAGAAAGTTGCTGACCCATCACTAGCAACAGTTACTGTACTGGATGTGCAGGATCTGTCTGCCTTGGCACATGGTTATTCTAAAACGAAATAGGAATTTCATCTTATGTATTTAGAGGCGAATCCTAAAGATTGCTGAAAGTCCTAAAGCAATATATACTTTCAGGACGCCCTGCATGTTACTAAAAGACTATGAGAAGTTTTGTTTATAAATAAATAAAAACTTCGTCCACTTAAGCAAAATAGCTATTTTAAGGCATGACACCGAATATCCAGAGAAACTGTGTCCATGGTATATACCGATATGAGTACACGTTTACCTGTTTGTTATTATTTGGATATAATTGAGTAATTAAATTTCTGGATAATGCATGGCGGACATACAATTAAAAAACATGTACAACCTACTTTAAAAATTCGGGATTAGGAAGTACAACCCCCAAGAAATTAGCAAATATAACAAACAACCAAACACTACCCCATCCAGAGATAACCCATACGGCGTCACCAGAAATACCAATTAATCAGTTGATCACATTTAACTATTGGCATGAAAGCGATTGCACGTTGCCGATGTGTGGTGTGGCAGGGGATGCCCTGGCACGTTTGTATGAATTTTAGCAATCATTAAATTGAGTATAGGCCGCATTGAAAAAATCGGAATGATAATTAGGTAAATAACAAGTATTTTTTAAGACAGTAAAAACATTGGTATTCACTGTAAGACAGTAATAACTAGGGATGGGATATTTAGGTACTAAAAACTGAAAAATAGTTAACTAAAAAGGTACTAAAAAAAGCATTTTAGGTTAAAAAAACAGCATTTTAGGTAAAAAAAAACATTAAAAATTCAAGTTTCGTTTATTTTTATAAAATAAGTAACGTAAAATATTTTTTTTTTAAACTGACCAATAGTTAATTAAAGCTATAAGGAACTGGATAAAATATTGGCCCAAATTTAAAAAGAACACAAAAAAATAAAATAAGTAAAAATACGTAAAAATAGGTAACAAACAGGTGAAAATAAACTAACAATTTAAAAAAATAGGTAACAAAAGTATAAAAAAGGTAGTTTAAGGCAAAAACCTCCAAAAAAGGTAAAAAAGGTAAAAAAGGTGAAAACAAGTTAGGTTCATATAAAAGAAAATCTTTTAAAACACATTTTGGCATTATTGGTTTTCAAATAGTTACATCGGTTGAAAAAAGGTAAAATAACTAAAATCCCATCCCTATTACTAATAATAATAATAATAATAACTTACTTTACCTTAGTTTCCATTGGAATAAAAATCATAAACATTAAAAGAAACAAAGACTATTCTTTTTCCATTTGTTTTTAATTTTTGGTTGAAGCATTATAACTTTTAATATAAATCAATGTTATATTTAATTAAATATTGTTAATTTTACCTTGATCAGATAAACTTTGAATGCAATCATTTCTAAAATTTTCAAGGAAGTATACATTTCCATTAGATTTAAATATAAAGAGCCATTCACTCTATAACAAGTAATTTTAATTTGATAATATTTTCTTATGGGCTGAATATAATATTTGTAATATCATCAATCCCTTACCCTCAATTGCTCCAAACATATTTGATTCAATAAACTTAACTTTTATTGAAGAAATTAAAAAACAATCAATTATATATAGCATTGTTATTGACTATATCAAAGCGTTTTTTCTGTGTAGCATAAAAATTAAAAACTTTAAGAAGTAAGTAAAACTGTCGATATATTTTTATACTTGAAGTTAAAGTCAATATCCAATATTCTGTTATCATCTTCGTATTTCTTTTACAATTTTCGACACTTGCTAGCTGATCTCGTATCGGTGTCGTGCTCGATCTATAACAATTTTTACTTTCACCCTCTTTTTTAGCTTTATTGCCTAGTAAGCGTTGCCCTAAAAATTTGGTAAAGATATCTTGATATCTAAAGTTACCAAACACGCACACCTTAACTTAACACGACCTTTAGTGTTAGTCTTTGATTGTAGGGTCACTGGACAGAACCAAACATTAAAAAATGCAATGGATTCTAAAATACCTTTCTTATAATTATTATCATTATTATGTTGCCTACAATTTATCCAGTTTTTTTACTAATGTTTTTATAACAAAATGGTTTAATTTTAAATTTGTAACTATACATTAAAACAAATAATTATAAAAATTATTTTTCAAAAAATATCCTATTAAACATTATTTTAGTACCTACTGTTAAATAGCAATTTTTAAGACCTTTCCAATGAGTTATCACAAAGATGTTGGTGCTCCATAGCTTTTTATGTACAGGCAAATTTTAAAATTTGGTCTATTTTAAAATAAAGGCAAGGCATTTGAAATAATTTTAACGCTAATAACTATTTCTAATTTGCTATTAATATAATCTATTATAATAACACCAACAACATATGCGCAGAGGCATACCGGAAAGGTGCGGCAGAAACAATTCGTATGAGTTCACGGCCTCGTTGGAACAGGAGGGTATTCAGGATAATTTAATAAATGGAAGTATAAACAATTAAATAATAATATTATTTATTTATTTGTTTATTTAATTACATCCCTCAATTTTTTTAACATGTGGGTAATATGTTTTTTGCTTACGCATGTCGAAGCCAATCTGGGGCCCCCCTAGCCGGGGGCCCCGTATCATTGATACGGCTGATACCGCGTTATCTACGCCCCTGGGTCATACTACACATCCTAGAAACAGTTTTAAGAAATTTTTTTATATCTTTTTTAGGTCCAGACTTATAGAGCATTGCTTGTTTTTAAATAGACACACATGTATACTGCAGTATAATATACTGCAGTATACATATTATGAAATCATAAGCCATTTTTCATTTTAACTCAAAGGTAGATTTTTCCTAATCACTGATATACTTGAAACTTGAAACTTTAAAATATCTCAGTTAGTACACTAACTGGCACCAACACCAAACTGAGTTATTCCAAGTCTACACGAAATCGTATAAAATTTTAACACAGCAACAGTGTGTTGATTTGTTTTTTATAAAAATAACGTTAAAAAAATTATTTTTATTTCAAAAAATATTTTTTCTACTTCCACCTTTAAAACGCCCTTTATCGTACATGACACTAAGTGACCTTTTAAATACACGTTGACAAGTTGTGGCTTTATGGCGCTTTAGGCACGGGCTGAAGTTAGCAACAGGTTTTTAGTCACGGGCTGAAGTTAGTTTTAAGTTAGTTGACAGTTGTCAAATGTCATACAAACGTTAAAATAAAGTGCCTTTCTTGTAAAATAATACTACATTTGAAAAGTTCATATGAACATTGTACTGACCTTTTAATTTCGCCGGCAGTAAACTATAACCTAAATTCGAGCACGGACTCCACTGTAAAGTGCTCATAAAACATTTTCTTTACTTTCACTGTGAAAAACTGTTAATTTTCATACATTTCGATTACAACCTTTATAATTGTGTTTATAAAATAAAAAAATGTGACATTTGACGGTGACACACAGTTTCCCCTATTGTTTCATAGATAGCGCTCTATACAAATTTTTGATTTAAATCATTTTAAGATAATACTAAGTATTTGTCGTAGAAAAAGTATAGTATGCACCTCTTTTATAAACTCTTCTATACACATACAAAGCAAATTTACACACAGATATTTTTTGCAGTGTATGCATTTTACGAAAAAATGTTTAAAATCGATCACTACTTAAATTGGTCCTCATACTCTCCTCCTTATAGGGGGAACAGGGTGTAACTTTAAAATTTCCAATAGAACACCCTATTTTTTATTGCAGATTCGGATCATTCGACTAAAAATTGGTAGATTTTGTATAAAACATTTTTTCATATTAAATTTAATTTTGTAATATTGCAGAATCGTATAAAAATAAAAATCGAACAAAATTGATGTTTTTTCATTACAGCGCCATCTATCTATTATAAATATGAAAAAATGTTTTTGACAAAAACTACCTATTTTTAGTCGAATGATCCGAATCTGCAATAAAAAATAGGGTGTTCCATTGGAAATTTTAAAGTTACCCCCTGTTCCCCCTATAAGGAGGAGAGTATGAGAATCAATTTTAGTACTGATTGATTTCCCCCCTCGAATCATTTAATTTTTATTTTAAAATTTTTTTCCTAAAATGCATACTAACTCAACTAACTCAAGTTAAATGACTCACCATAGAGATAAGATTTTAGTGTTATTACCTATTTGTCTACTCTAATCATAACTTTAGGTGCAATTGACCCTGATTTTATTTTACCTATTTTGCCTAAATTTTAGTTTTCTATAGAAAAATGGACCTAATGTTTACATTTTACCACCTACACTAGTGTAATTTTACCTATTTCACCCAAATTCCTACTTTTAACAGAAATGAACCTAATTTTACCATCAAAAACAAGCTTTTTTGTAAAATTGGGGTTGTCGGTTAAAATCATTCTTATGCACCATGTAGTTATTTTTGTTGTACAGGATTGGTAATGTGGTTGGTACTGTGAATCGCGAACAGCGACGCGAATATGACATTCCTGTGCAATGTTGTCAGGTCTTATGCTTTTTCCTGAGATCTCAAGTTTTTACAATCAATCTCATATTATGTTTTATTAAAAAATCTAATGTATTTTGACAAATTATAGCAAATTTGTACTTTTTATGAGAACATATTTTTAAAACATTTTTATCATAATGAATGTAAATTTGTTATTTTCAGCAATTGTATGCTTATTAACAAAAACATTTTGAATGTACCGCCGCAATAAAAAATTATAAAATTTTTGATGACATTATAATATTTTTAAAAGATTTATTCGTCAGTTATTTTTAAATCATAAAAATCTTAATACAATAATAAATAAAATTATATTACCACCTAAAAGTTGCTTTTCACTGCTAATTTTTGTAAAATACGAGGTGTGTTCATAAAATTTCGGGAATTTTCGATTTTTGAAACAAATATTTATTTATTCGTCTACATTAATGTTAACGCCTTCAAAATATTATATATTATATTATATATTATATTATGCACATGTGCCAGCTCTTCTTCCAATACTCGAAACACTCCTAAAACTCGATGTTTGGGGTAGCCTTTAGTTCTTTCAGCGATGTGCTCTTTATTTTTTGGGAATAGGAAAAAGTCAGACAAAGGCATGTCTGTCGAATATGGAGGCTGGGGCATCATTACAATATTTTTTTTCGCCAAAAATTTTGTTCAAAATTTAACAATTTTAGAACAAATTTTGCTGCCACGCCTTTCATAACCAAAACATTCGAAAAAATTTCATGGGATGAGCCAATCGATATACCAACATCATCAGCGACTTCTCTGATGGTTTATAAACATTTCTTCCACTTTTTCCATGTTTTTATCGGTTGTTAATGTGCTTGTGCGTTCGGGGCGTTCGTCATCTTCAACGTCTTCACGGCCATCTTGGAAACTCTTATACCACTTGTAAACTCTTGTTTTACTTATAGCAGACTCACTATAGGCATTTTTTAACGTTTCACAGAATTTATTTCATTTTTTAAGCAAAATTGGACACAAATTCTTTGATCCATTTCTTTTAACGAACGAAAAATCGCCAAGCTCATAAAACACGTCTAACCTTAGCGGCTGCCACAGACAAAGTAAACAATGAAAACAGTTAATGTTTTTATCATACTTTGGGGGCATGTATACCAACATAATAAAAAAAAATTTATGACAACCGGACCCTCTGAACCCGCAAAATTTAACAATTCCTGTTATTTTCTGAACACGCCTCGTACGTACCTAATTTATAAATTTTTTCACCTAAAACAAGAAAAAACTTAACCCATTTAGGCACCTATTTTTATAAATTTGGCAACCTAAAATCCCATCTCTACTGATATAGATATTGATAAAAAATCTTAAATTGTATGAGTTTCTTTTCATTATTTCTATTTCTATAAACCTTCACATTCGGTTTAGTTCTGAGTCTGTGCGACGAAACTTTATATCATGGTTAAATAAAATTGTAATGTAAAACAACCACACAAAACGATGGCTAAAATAGAGAATTTTTATTATTACATGGCGGTTTATTGTACATCAAGTGTGGCTTAGAAATATACATTTTCCAGCATTTTAAAGTAGCTTTTGTCGATTTTAAAATTCTCGTTTAGGATGTCGTTGTAAAAATTGCAAACACGGGTTGCACCTGCTACACAAGGTAATACAATTTTGTTTTTTGAAAGCAATATGCAGCACGTAGTTTTATTTGAGAACAATATGTCCAATTTTTTTTAATTGATGGACGTGACTGCTGCTGCTAATAATTAAACGCGATTAAAAAGGCTGTTTTGAGAATAATTGTAATTTAAATTTATTTTAATAAACGATTGTCTATAATTGCAGAAACAGTTCAGATTTAATTTTCATCTGCTTTGCACTAAAATCCGTGATTAATTTTGTTATTTTTTACTTGTCTTTAATTTTCATTAAAACTAAGAAACTTATCACGCTGCAATCGAGTTCTTAAAAAACAAAAAATCTAAGGAACTAAGAAACTAAAATACTAAGAAATCTTATTTTTGGTTTTCATACCATTTTTTAATATTTTTAATGTTGTACAAATCAAACGGACAGTAACGAAGATACAGCGCTTCAAAGTCGGTAAAAATTACCCCTTTTTGATTATTTTGCTGAAAAGTGGTCATTTTTACCGACTTTGAAGCGCTGTCTTTAACAGCATATTTTTTATTTACTTAAAAAAAATTCCCTATAAAAGTTTTTTTTTCGAGCGTTTTTTTTTAATATTAAATAAAAGGGCTTTAAGGATACTTTTCCAAAAACCCTTGAAAACGTGTATATTAGTAAATTTGTGACCCCTGCAGGGGACCATTTACCATTACAAAATATGGGTTCAATTTTAATTACAAAAATTACATATAATTACTACTAAACAAATTGTTGACATTACTTTTAAACTTGGTTAGAGAGTTAGGTGTTAAATAACACCCCTAAATAAACAAAATTTGAAGAAAAAAAAACAGGTTTGTAGTTTTTGTTTTTGTTTTCACTTTTTCTTCTTTAAAACGCCCTTTATTGTACATGTTTCCATGACACTAAGTGACCTTTTAAATACACATTGACAAGTTGTGGCTTTATGGCGCTTTAGTCACGGGCTGAAGTTAGCAACAGGTTTTTAGTCACGGGCTGAAGTTAATTTTAAGTTAGTTGTCAAATGTCACACAATCGTTAAAATAAAGTGCCTTTCTTGTAAAATACTACTAAATGTGAAAATTATTTTATTATCTCAATACAAAAATACAAAAGTATTAAATTGTTTCTCAACGCCAATATTTGAAAAGTTTAAATAAACATTGTACTGCCGGCAGTAAACTATAAAGTAAACTGTAAAGTCCTCATAAAACATTTTCTTTACTTTTACTGTAAAAAACTGTCAATTTTTAAGAAATATATTTTATATATTTTATAATCTGTGTTTATAAAATGTAAAAATGTGACATTTGACGGTGACACACAGATTCCCCTATGGTTTAATAGATGGCGCTCTATACAAATTTTTGATTTAAATCTTTTTAAGATAATAATAAGTATTTGTCGTAGAAAAAGTATAGAATGAACCTCGTTTATAAACTTTTCTAAACACTCATCAATTTAAGCACTCACTCGCAATCTCGCTCGTGCCTAAATTAAATTCGTGTTTAAAATGGCGTTTATCAAACTTGATACTATTAAAAGAGCACTTTAGCTTAGTATTAAAATTAAAATAATTATTAAATTAAATGTAATAAAATGACAAAGTAAATTTTGTATTTAAAAGTAGGTACCTATCTCTATTAATGCGATGTACTGTTCGAACCTCCCCAATAAGCTTACAACCGTTAAATTAGCTTTAGGCTAATTCTTTGAGCACAGTAAATCTGATCAAACGTCCAGTATACACACAATTCCGTGACGTAATTTACCCGGATCAAATTAATGTAATGCTGCTTCTCCGACTGTTGCAACATGTTGGATCAAATTTATTGCAAATTTTATTTTAAGTTCAGAAAAATATATTGTTAATTTTTTATTTCCAGTTTTGTACACACTACGCAACGTCGGATAAAACAAAGTTTCCAACATTTGCGAGAACCAGGCCTCCAGATACCCAAATTTCCAAATCCGTTACGTCTGTATTGGTGGCATTTAATTGGACCCATGTAAGCTAGCCCAAACTGAAAACACAATTAAAAGACTAATCTGATTTTTTCTTAGGTGGTTTTGCTCTATCTGAAATCCCCGGACTTTGAATTCGGCAACATAGCCAGCATTATTCTGCAATCTCTCAGCATGGCCGGTATAACAGTTATTGCAACTAAATATTGGGACACGCCATATCACCATGGATACATGGAAAATCCATTTCACAAATTGGTGGAGGAAACATACAAGGACTGCAGAAGTGAGTAAATTATATGGCCTATTAACTTTAGCTACGTATGATGTATTGAAATTTTAACAACATTGATGATAAATGCAATAGGGTAAAAAACATAGTTATTGGACACTTAAGGAATATTATTTATTTAAAATATATAAATGCCGTTGTTTTGAAGATTTAGTTTTTTTCGTATAAATATAAAAAAGGATAGTTTGTTTGTTTAAACTTTATTTACGTTTACTTAAAAATAAGAATAATTGAATTTTTAATAATAGTTTTATAAAAACATGCAAAAAAGTATAGTAATTGGACATTTTATATAGTAATTGGACACATGGAACATAGTTATTGGACATACAATTTTTATATAAACATAACAACTTTACATCAAATAACATAAATTGTTAAATTTTTTAAAGATAAATTGCAGTTTTAGGTAATTTTTTTATTTCGTTTTTGTAAATATCATATAATTCATATATTTTTTTCTCGGATTCCTCATCCCTTTCTAAATTCTGAAGGTAACTACTAATTCCTTGGTGTGACTTCTGAAATAGTTCGTTGCAAATATCATTAAATGGGGTATCTCTAGTTTGTGAAGCATTTATAATGTTTAGGCCGGAACAGGATGATTTATGTATATCTAATATTTTTTTCGGGTGGTATGTTAAAAGTATTTTCCGAATTTAATAATTTTGTTACCATTAGTTTTTTATGTTCTCTGTCATACACTTTATTTAAATCATTGTTATTCTGCAAGATGTCCTGTGACGAAGAAATCACTATATTACTTACTTTCTAAAAATGAACTAGTCAAAAGTGTCATAGCGAAACAGCAGCCACTAATAATTCTCGTCAACAGCAATTTGTATCCAGGACATTTGGCAGTAAATTCCTATGAAATATTATTCGCTGAATCCGAAAATGTCGTCAAAAGGTATAAAAGTAGAACAGTTTTAGAAATATAATCAATTTTACATATAATATGGAATTGACTATATCTCAAAAACTGCTTAACTTTTATAGTTTTCGACGATATTTTCGGATTCAGGGGACAATTTTACATAAGAATTGGATGGTTAATGTCCGGGATACAAATAGAGCATATTAGACATATATCCAATAATAGAAATTTACATTTTTTACCAACCAGTAATTGGACACTGGCCATTTTACTCTTTGTTTTCAGAATTACAATTAAAACGCATTAAAGTGGCAATGTTTAAACCATGAGGAACACATTTATACCTCACACTGATCTGTACACTTTTTAGAAATATTAATATTGTAATTTAAACACAGCCCTGCTCTTAACAAAAAAATTAAAATCTTACCACCAAACAGTGGCGGCCCGTGACAATTCATTTTAGTGAGGCAGAGGCAGGGTTTCGCCCTCATTTAAAGGTGAAGAAATTTTTTTAAACCCAACTTAAAAAAACTGACGTTGCAGTTCACAACCTATACTTAAAACTAAGTAAAAAACTGTCAATAAAATATATTTTATTGTAAAAATGACTTTTATTTTAAATAATCCTCATTTTTGTCTAATTAATATTTCATTGTTCAGCAAGAACCACGTGAAGGTGTAGAGGTAAAGTGCAGCATTATTAATATAACTATTAGGTTTAAGCCCTAATCATTTAATTAATAATAGTACACCATCAACAATATCGGTACAATTTCTTACCGTAATATCCATAATGACTAAATTCACATATATGTATAAATCACCAAGTTCAATTAACTAAACCCACAGAATAAACCACACACAAAAAAGAATCATAAAATAGACAAACTCATAGAATAAGAATAAACATAATATTGCGTAAATAACCACAGATTTGTTCTTTAAACAGTTCAGAATTTTATAACCAAAACAAACCTAAATAAGGAATCTGTATTTATTTTATTGGTTACTGTGATGGCTACAAGATGGCGATAGTGTTAAAATATGTTTATTTTAGAATAGAAATATAATTTCGATTAAATCGATTTATTATAAGAAAAATAATACCATTTATTATTGAATTTTGAAAAACGTGTATAGTATAATTTATCTAAAATTCGGCAACAGTGTTGCCACAACACCTGCTTATTTCCTTGGATGTAGGCGTGCCTGCCTCGCGTATGCTAATACGAGAGAAGGAGACAACTATGATATCGCATTGTAATAGAACGAGACAACAAGGCTAACGCCAATCGTGAGTCTAAATTAGTTCAGGCATGCTTCTGAGCCAATCATCTATCTATAAATATTAGTTTACATTGCGGTCGTTTCAAATTCAAATAATTTAAATGTTGCTTAGTATTCCACGTATAAAATCAACCAATTTATAGTATATTATAGAAAGTAAAATACTTAAATTATACTTAATTTTTTAATTCTCTATGATGAGGCACTGCCTCACCTGCCTCCCCTGATGGGCCGCCACTGCCACCAAAGTAACGTGCTAACTTTGTTGTCCTATATTGGACACAAAATAAAGTAGTTCTATATTATTACCGACTGAGATAGTTATAATTGTATACCGTCAACTAATGATTTGACTTTAAGGTAACTATTTATAGAACTCTTGTTTTTACAATATTAATGTTAATTGTCCAATAACTATGAAGTGTCCGATAACTGTCTACTTTACTCTAAAATCCTGTTATATTCAGTACATGTGGTTCAAAAACAAACAGGTTTATTTTTGTACATCCATTATAGTGTCAGGATTTATGTGTTCTTAATACCAATTGAACGTAAAGATTTGGCAAAATACACAGCTATGCATGCTTAGGAGTTATCTTAATAGTATGAAAAATAACTTTAATCCCACATCCTCGCAGTACGTTCAACTTTGTCCTATTATAAATAAAAATATAAATCACATACAAAGTGGTCCTGAACTTTATTTTTAAAATCTCTTATAAATTATTGCGTACAAGGAATATTTTATTTTATTTTGTATAATATTATAAAATTAAAACTAAAAAATTTAATATTTTTTTCACGTCTTAACAGTTTCACAGGAATGCAAATTTAATTTATTGTTTTTATCTTCAAATAACAGACAGCGAACAGATAAAAAATGTTCCTATTTCCTTTATTTATCCTTAGGAAAATTGCACCAACTTGCTGAATACGAATTTGGAATTTTAATTTGGTATGCAAAGATCGTTTTTGTTCTATTTAATTTTTTTTAATTAGAAAATAGCTTATGTTGTGAAAAATTATATTTCAAGAAAATATTTTAAAGGGGATTTTATTAAATTTTAAAAGTCCGTTGTTACTTCAATTTTAAATGAGGTATCACGCCTGTTACACTGTTATAAACATCAGATTTGTTAACAAGAGTTTGTAGTTTGTTAATATTATTTTGTAAAATTTTAACATATTTTTTTGTAGAAAACCAGGGTTTGTTATTTTTTTAACGTAAAGGTAATGCAATTTTGTAAGCATTTTGTTAATTTAAAAGATTACAGATTATTTTGTTAATTTTTAACAAATTATTTCGTTGAAAAAGTACACGTGATTTCAGGCATTCAATCAAAACATTTCCCACTGACAATACGCATCAACAAGTTTAACTGACTTTAGCGTCTGCAACTTATGGTTTTGCTTACTTTATTCTATATATATATATATATATATCTAGAGTATTTATAATAATGTATAATATAATTATTACACTTAAAAAAATATACATGCACTGATAATGAAACTAATTTTGTAAGCGATTAATAAAATAATATTATTTAACTTAAATTTAAAATTGTAATGGCTATAAAAAATGTACCACCTAAGGTACCTTTTTTATTAAATTTTCAGTGTCTTATTGGGACAAAAACCTACGATTTGTCAAAGTAATAAGATTATTTTTATTTGCAGAATAAACTTTTTTTACTGTTAATAAAATTCTCATTTAATATAATGAAGCAGCAATGTTGAGCTTTAATAAAAAAAAATCATCCAACAAAGTAATAGTTGTTATCATATTGTCATGGCATGAAGAAATACTTTATGTTTATTAAATCTTTGTCGAACTTAAAATGTTTTTGTTAAATCTATAGTTGTGTTTGAATTGCGCTTACATAAAGTAATGCGCAGTTGTTATATATAGTACGTTCATTTTACTATAGCATATTTGTCTTTTTTAAATTACTTACTATCGTTGTAATTCAAATTAATTTTATTTCAATTAGAAAATCTTTGTCAATAGGTTACGTTAAGAACAATAACAAAAATATTTTATTGCTATAAAAAGACTTTTTTAATATTTACTATTGTTTTGTAATGTTATAATCTTATTGATTTCACTTGTGCGAGTGAAGTGTGGTTAAATCTAGCATGTTAAAAATATCAAAAAGATCACTAAGAAAATTAAAATTTCGACGTTTTCTAAAACAAATATTTAAGGTATATTCTATAAACTTGTTGTTTAAAAAGTGAGTTCATATTTTTTTATTTTGTACATCATATAATATGAGTTATTTTTTTTTTGTTATAATAAATAATTTGTTTTATTGCTTTGCAATTATAAAAACTGCCCAACACCCAACAGTACATTGAAAATGTGACCATTTTTACAATGAAAATAGTTTATTGATTTAACAATTAATTTGTTGTTAAATTTAATTTTAATAATATTATAAAAAAAGTTTTATTTTAAACGAAAAGGGATTAGTAAAATTTACAAAATTTCTATGAATAATAAATACCATTAGGGTTTCATTAATACTGCAAAACGTTTTTGTAAACGGTATAGAACTGTTTTTTTTGACAAATAATAATAACTATATTTATCAATGTGTTTCTGCATCTGGAAGAGTGTTATTTTTATAAAATAAATTTACTTTATAATTAATGCAATTGCTATGGTTGAATTATTGACATAGTATATCGTTATTAAATCTACAAAATGTTTGTTATAATTACAAACTAGTTATTCAATTAGTTAACAGATTACAGTTAGTTGTAAACTTAACATAAGTTATGCGGACCTCAATTAACATAAAATCTATTTAATATTTAAAATCGAGGTTAAAGTTAACAAATCGATTACTTTTTGCCAAAGTATCGCAAGCAACATAACTTAAATTTCGGGAATTAAAAACATTTTTTGTTTTAAAGTCTGTTTTAAACCATATACCTATAACCCATAGGTTTTATAACAAGTAAATAGCTTTAATTATAAGCTATTTACATGTTATAAAACCTATAGGTTATATATATTTTTAAAACAGACTTTAAACAAAAAATGTTTTCAATCCCCGAAATTTAAGTTATGTTGCTTGCGATACTTTGGCAGAAAGTCATCGAAATATTTTTTTACTGTGTAAATAAAAAAATACTTTTAATTATTATACAGAGTGCATAAAGCTCTAATTCTGTTGCGGATAATATGTGAAATGCGGAAACTTGACTCAATAAATTTTCTTTAATTGTTGCAGTTTTCGTTATTTTGGGTCATCACTACGAGCACTTAGGTCTGATGCTCGCGATGGAGGAAAAGAAGCTTTTCGATAAAGGTTCGTAAGTTGAAATTTATTATTTTTATAGATTCTCGCATCGTCCGACCAGTAACTTTTACAGTTACCGTTTTTAAACGCAGGCATTACGGTTAAATGGGTCAGTATTGTGGTTTATGGGCCAAGGGAAATTGTTGGAATATTCTTTATTACTATACTTTTATTATTCCAGCCAGTTTTAAAGGAAGTCTTAATATCCTAAAGGGCAATGAAACGCTAAATTTGCAGTGCTTGTACTTTTGTAGTTTAAGTTATGAACTAACTCTTTAATAAAATAGATATGGAGTACCTACCATTTGAATTTTTAACACAAAATAATAGTATATTATGTTTCAAGTTTGATAAATGCCATTTAAGTGCTTAATTAAATGAGTGCCTAGAACAGTTTATGAACGAGTTGTATACTATACACTGTTTAAAATATCTGTGGTGTAAAGAGTAATCTTAAAATGGTGTCAAAATTCAATACCAAGTGGGTGTTATATACAGCAAACACCAAAACGGTGTTTATCTAAAAATATTTAAGAAGTGCACCTACCCAGAAAAAAAGGAATAATTCATTTAACTATATTAATTTAGTTGACCCATAAGTATTTATTTAAATCAACTGTGGGAAGGTTAATATAAACAAAGATTATTTTGACGGTGCTAAACCAGATAGTTATTTAATTTTTTTTAAATTGGTTAAATTAACCCAGAAAACTTTAGTGAAACCAACCCGCTGTATGGTTCAGTTTACTAAATATGTTGTTTGTAAAATAAAAGTTACTTCAACCTAAAGCACTCTGTTAAAACGATTAAAACAATTTGCCGTGCATTCCTGGTTGCATAGTGTGTACCGATCGAGGCAAAGGCGGTGTGGATCACGTGATGTTCTTAAATCTCGCCTCTGTTGACTTACATGAAGAGTATATAAGCTCAGGTAGTCCTTTGCTTTGGTGTGGCCATGCCCTGTGCACTCGCCTTAAACAAACAAAATCCACATTTTTGTCTAGTCGACTTTGGTTTTAGTTTACACTCGAGTTGCATGTGGCAGGAGCGGCGGTTAATCTTGACGGTTGCTTGGTAACGAAATCAACAAACTTCAGTTTGATAAATTTTGTAAAGTTTTGTAAATTCATATTGTGTTTATTTGGTTTGTTCTGTACGCTTAAAAACTTTTATAATTGCGATTTATCGTTATCTAGACAGCTGTGTACTCTATTTTTTATATATTGCTACATTATTTGAACATTAACATGGTGTTGTGCTGTGCTGTGGGCTGCTCTAACAGTCAAGTTATGATGCATACTCTTCACAATGATGACAAGGTTGTATTGTATTATTCAATTATAACTATTTTATTAAAACAAGGTACTTACACAAATGTGGTACATAATATTATTACTTACTGATTTGTGTTCTTTAATAAGATAAAATACACTTGAATACATTATTATATTGTTAATTGGTTTAGTTTAGTAGTAGTAGTACGGTTGGGTAGGCTCGAAGCCTGACAATTAGACTCCATGGTCCTTTTTATCTGCCCCTCCTAAACCAACCAGACTACTCCTCATCTTCCTCTTCGCCCATACCAGCCCTTTCGAATCTTCCAGACCTTCTTATAAAGGTCAGGATATCCTGCCAGGCAAGAGAGGCCAACTCTTCCCTTTGGAGTGTCATCACTCCAAAGATTTTATACCTTAGTCTGCCGAGGGCCTCACATTGTCCCAGGAAGTGAAAGGAGGTTTCATCCTCCCTTCCGCACTGGGTACAGGAGGGGCTGGTTTCAGCCCCTATTCTTGTGAGGTGTTTCCTTAGGCCATGACCTGTGAGTATATTCACAAGTGGGCCCAAGGAGGTTCGGCTTCTACCTAGAAGCCAGATGGATTTGGGTTTGCTTAGGGTGACCAGAAAATCCCTGGTCTGCCTACAGCCACCGCTTCTTCTCCAGCTTTCATTCGCTCTTTTATCAGCCCAATTATTTAGGGCTGATTTGACCTGCTTTCTCGTGATTCCAAAAATTGGTTCGGGTCCTACACAGGGGGTTTCAGATCCCAATCTGGCCAACTCATCAGCCCGTTCGTTACCCTCAACCCCACTATGACCTGGTACCCATACGAGATGCACTCTTTTTGTACTTGCTAGCTTTTCCAGCGCTTCCTCACACTCTTGAACCAACTTCGATGTGGTTCTCGCTGCCCAAAGCGCTTTCAGAGCTGCTTGGCTATCTGAGCAGATGTATATATCTGTCTCACTCCCTGTTCTTATATCCTCACAGTTTGCAACCTCAAGTATGGCAAACACTTCCGCTTGAAAGACAGTGGTATATCCTCCGAGCGGGTAGCTCCTTTGGATATCCCTGTCCTCCACGCAGAAACCTGCCCCTGAAGACAGTGTACTCGCCATACGAGAGCCATCAGTGTAGCACACTAGTGCATTTTGTGCAAAGTGTACATCCTTTTTCTCCCACTGCTCTCTTGTTGGTATCGTGAGGGAAAACTTCTTTTTTAAACTTAGGCGGTCTTTTGCTGGCATCGTTCTAATACTGCTAATTGGGACCTCCCTCTCAGCCATATCCGCGATGCCCTCATGACCATAAGTTATTCCTTTTCCTAACCAATTGTTGGCATCCCTCATCCTTAAATGGCTCGCCATTGCTTCTCTCTTTATCCAGAGGGAAAGATTAGGCAAGCTCAGCAAGGCCTCTAATGCCGTCGTTGGAGTAGTCCTCATTGCGCCTGTGATACCGAGACATGCCAGTCTCTGTATCTTGCTCAATTTTTGAGCGATGGTGGTTTTGCTCACACTGCGCCACCAGACCACTGATCCATAATGTATCCGCGGTCTGATGACAGCAGTATAAATCCAGTGAAGGACTTTGGGATTTACTCCCCAGCGTTTTCCCACCACCCGGCGCAGCTGCCAGAAAGTTGCAATCGATTTGTCAACAACTCTGTCAACGTGTGATTTCCAACTTAACTTCCTATCTAGGGTAACACCTAGGTACTTGACCTCTTCAGTAATCTCAAGAGGTCTTCCATACATGGCTGGTGCCCTGAAGTCCTGTATCTTCCTTCGTTTGGTAAAAAGAATCATGTCAGTTTTTGTTGGGTTAACCGACAGACCGTTTTCTTTGGACCAATTTTCTATTATTCTGCATGCTGTCTGCATTCTGTCGCAGACTACACCTAGAATGCCTCCTCTGATTAGGACTGTACCATCATCTGCATATGCTTGTGCATACAGCCCTTCGGCCGTCAGTCTCTCCAGAAGTCCATCCATTATTAAACACCATAGGTGGGGTGATAGGCAGCCGCCTTGTGGGCAGCCGCCCCTCACACCGATGTCCAAATGGCAGTCTCCCAGAGATGCACTGACCTGCCTCTCCTCCAGTGAAGATTTAACCCAACTAACCAGGACTGGGGGAGTGCCTCTGGCTTGTAGCGCTTCACAGATTGTAGATGTCCTCGCCTTATCAAAAGCCCCCTCTACATCAAAGAAAACAGCTAGTGCCATTTCCTTGTAGTGCAGTGCCTTTTCGACTCTATGCACTATAGAATGAAGAGCCGTTTCGGTCGACCTTCCATTTCTATAGGCATGTTGATTCTTATGGAATGGGTACCTTTTCAGCACCCCTTCTTGCAGGTACCGGTCCACGATCCTTTCTAATGTTTTAAAAAGAAAGGATGTTAGGCTTATTGGCCTGAAGGACTTTGCAGCCGAGTAGTCTTTTTTCCCTGCTTTGGGTATAAAGACCACTTTAGCTGCCCTCCAGGCTCTTGGGACATATCCCAGTGCCAGACTGGCTCGGAATATTCGTTCTATTCTTGGGAGAAGAATCTCCAAGCCTCTCTGTAGCAATGCTGGGAATATTCCATCCGGTCCTGCTGCCTTGTATGGATCGAACGCATTTACTGCCCATTCCACCGATCCCTCCTTCACGACGTCTTTGGCAAGGCCTAAGTCCCAGGTAAGGGTCTCTGGCCCCTCCGTTGTTGACGTGTGGGAAGGAGTTTCGCCGGGGAAGTGCGTTTCCAGGAGATGTCTTAGGGACTCTTCACTGGTGTTCGTCCACGATCCATCCAACCTTCTTAGGATTCCTACATTCCTTTTTGACTCACAGCTAAGGATCTTCATCAGCCTGGTTGACTCCTGAAGTGACTCTACAGTTCCACAGTATGTCTTCCAGCTGATATCCTTGCTGCGCCTTAACTCTTTTTTGTAAGACTTTCTGGCCTCCCTGTACGTATCCCACGTGGATTGCAGCCCATCCTTGATAGCCCGGTTGAATGCGCGCCTTGCCTTCTTTCGAAGGTCGTCAAGCACGTCACTCCACCACGGGACCTTTCGGCCCTTAGCCACCTTGGCCGGACAAGCAGTCTCGTAGGCTGTGGCAATCGTACTATTTAGGTGGTTAACTTCCTTCTCTAACTGTTCTTTGGTGGTAATGTCCACAGGAGGTTCCCAAGTTTGACTTTTTAGATTGGTGAGATATTTCTCCCAATCTGTAGCCCTTGGATTCCTCCTTGGGTTAGGAGTGACCTTGTCGACATTTAACTCAAATCTGATCATCCTGTGATCAGACATCGTTATATCGTTGGTCACTCTCCAGTTAGAAACATCTTCATATACTGACCTTGATGCCAACGTTATGTCTATTACTTCCTTCCGGTTGCAAATAACAAACGTTGGTTCTTTGCCTCTGTTTATTACCTCCAAGTCTGTTGATGCCAAATACCCTAGCAGAGATTCTCCCCTACTATTGGTGTTGGTACTGCCCCACACGTAGTGGTGGGCGTTGGAATCACATCCTAGCACGAGGGGTATGCACTTGTCACTCGCGAACTTGATTAATCGAGTTAGCTCCGGAGTAGGGCACGGTCCCTCGTACGGTAAATAGACGCTTCCTAATATAATCCTATTTCTAATGCCTCTTACCTTATATTCCAGCAGAACCGCCGTGACATCCCTAGCCCCCAATTGTGGAAGTGGTAGCACATTGAGTTCCTTGGACGTCA